CTTGAGTTAAGAGAGTGGACACCTGGCACATGTCACCAGGGGTTTTAAGTACAACTGGGCACTGCAGGCCTCTGACTAGATCATAACATTTTCCCTATGAAGCACAGGAAAATAGACCACACCAAGACAACAAAGGCATCCAAAGAAAGGTTCAGGAACTCCAAACCTTGTATTTAAAGGCCTCTGATTTCCTTTGCAACTCTGTATCTGATCTCCAGGATGACAACATTGCCAATGGAGCCACCGCTCTTCCCAGTCAGTATTTGTTTTGCTTTTTTTCATCTTGTTATATCATTATTCATCACTCAAAAATTATTCATTTTCAGGTGTGTTAGTCAAGATCTGAAAATATTGGGACCAGCTTGATCCCATTATGGCAGATGGAACAGCTCAAACCCACTAATCTCTTGGTCCCAAGCCTCAACCCTGGCAAATCAAACTATGAATCCAATGACAAAGATCATCATCCCTCAATAATCACTGATCCGTGTAGCAAAGATAATAATTTTCCACATCCTTGAACTCAAAGGGCTCAACAAAGCTCTCACTGATAGCTTTGAGTAGCAAATTAAGATACTTGATTGACAAGAGGCAATTAAATTGGCCTCAGAGAACAAACGGGCCAAGCCTCAAAGAACTTGGCCATTCCAGTGAAAAAATAAAAAGATTATTGGCCAAGCAGCTTGCCTGTGGCAAAGGACCTAGCTCTCAGTTCTGAACAACACATCCACTCAGAACCACAAATACAAAGATATGGTTAGTGGCAATTCCAATGGTCAGGAGGACCAAGATTTGTAGATTGAATTCTAGTGGCTTTCTGGAAACCCCTGTTGTGCAGTGTTATCCTTGATCATGTCTCCTCCTGCTTTTTTACATTATGATCTTCTCCTTTTTTGTTATGATGTTCTCATTTTTTGTTAACATCATGTCATTTTTCCTGTGTTATATTGTCATATCTGAATATTTATGCTGTCTCTGAATTTACACTGTCTGTTCAGAATTCAAAAATGAATTATATAAAGGCACATAAACAATGCTGAAAAATTCAAAACTTTGTCACAAAGGGTCAAATCTGTACCTGACAAGTCAGGTGACCTTGAGTCTGCCTCAGGGTCAGCAATTTATTCCTTCAAGGGGGACTCAAAGTACAGTTCCCAGGTGCTTTCTTGTCAGCTGGCTACTATGTTACATCCAACTAACAAATATAATTATAAATAAAATTACCATAAAAAATCTAAGTATGAAATAAAATGTCCAACAAAAAAAAAATATATCTCAAAGCCAAATTGATTAATTTAATGT